AAAGTAAGTAAATTATCATCAAGCCAACGAGCAACCTTAGCTAATTGCTTTTCCGCTATCAATCGCACTTCTTCCCAAGTGTCTCCCCAAAGAGATGTGCAAGCGGGATTTAGAAAGGGAATGGGGTGTACAGATCAAGTCTTTTCCATGCGCATGATCGCGGAGAAGTTTTTGGCGAAAAACCAAAAAGTTTTTTGAGCGTTCATGGACTTGGAAAAGGCTTATGACAGAGTGGACAGGGTTGTGTTATGGCAAACGCTGAACGCATTTAGGTTGAGCGCTGGTTTGATACAGGCATTAAAGTCTCTGTATAGGGACTCGAGTGCTTGTGTTAGAATCAACGGGGTCTACTCGGACTGGTTTGGCATCCATAAAGGTGTCAGACAGGGCTGTGTAGCTTCCCCGTGGCTGTTCAACCTATTTATGGACAGCTGTTTGGAAAATTTGAAAGTTGAAGAATGCGGGTTAAGAATGGGTGAGTTAACCATCAAATGCCTTTTGTACGCCGATGATCAAGTCATACTCATATTCATCATCATCATATTCATCATATTAATGAACAGGTCATTAAAAGAAAGGGGAATGAAAGTGAACGCAAGTAAGACGAAAGTGATGGTTTTTGAAAGAGATGAAAGCAAAACGGTATGTGAAATAAGAATAGAAGGAGAGTTAATTGAGCAAGTGGATGAGTTCGTATATTTGGGATGTGTATTCAGCAGGGATGGGAGATATAAGGATATTGAACGACGAGTGAATGCAGGAAATAAAGTAAATGGGGCTCTACACTCTATTGTGAAAAGTCAGAATGTGTCAAAAAAGGCACGTATGGCAATTCACAGTGCTGTATTAGTCCCTACTTTAACGTATGGTAGTGAAAGTTGGGTGTGGCAGAAGAAGCACGAGAGTAGAATAAATGCAGTAGAAATGCGGTCGCTAAGGAGTATGTTAGGGCTGAATCTGAGTGACAGGGTGAGAAACTGTGTGATAAAAGAAGAGTGTGGTTTGCAAGATGATGCGGTGACCAGGATTAAGAAAGGAATGCTTCGGTGGTTTGGTCATGTAGAAAGAATGAATGCGGAAAGACTGACAAAGCAAATATATGTTGCAGAAGTGAATGGAAGAGTCGGAAAGGGACGTCCTAGGCGGAAGTTTGTCGACCAAATTGGCGATATACTAAAAATGGGCCAAATTAAGAGTACCCTTAACCGACGAGCATGTATGCGTAGGTATATGGATGTGGAAGAGGCGAGAAAGGTATGTCAGGATCATGCTAAATGGAAGTCTGTAGTCTCTGCCTACCCCTCTGGGTGACAGGCGTGAGTGTTTATGTTATGTTATGTTATGTCTTCCCAAAATAATATCGCAGTATCATCTGCGTATGAGAAAACTCTTCCTCTATTCACACTCATACTACACAGATTATTAATATACACTAATAATAACGTAGGGCCGAGTACGCTTCCCTGCGGTACACCATAATTAACATTTGTATAGCTACTACTGTTTTGACCTATTCTTACAATCTGTGTCCTGTCAGAGAGGTAATCCTTTAAAAGTTTTAGAGGTATTATACCTCTGATACCAATCTGTTCTAATTTATTAACAAGAATGGGGATTGATACAGTATCAAAGTCCTTTTTTAGATCCAGGAAGACAGCAAGACATTTTTTGCCGCTATCCAAGGTGTTTACAATTTGAGAACTCAACGCGGCCACTGCATCTTCCGTAGAGCATCCCTTTCTAAAGCCGGATTGAGAGTCTGCTAATATTTTAAATTTAGAGAGATAGTGTATAAGTCTATTGTTAATTAACTTTTCCAAAAATCTTTGAGAACACAGGCAGCAAGGAGATTGGCCGATAATTACCAACGTTTTTCTTATCTCCACTTTTGTAAATCGGTATTACAATAGATTGCTTCAGCAGCTTCGGAAAGACACCCTTTTCAAAGATGGCAGAGGATGGGGACAAGTAGTTGTTCAGCAATCTTGAGAAATCCGGTTGAAATATTGTCCCAGCCAGGGGCGGAATCTGATTTGAGACCTGCAATAATACTGTTGATCTCTTCCGGATAGGTTTCCATCAAAACAAAGAAAGAATGTGCCTTTACAGATACAGTTTTATGTGCTTCATCAACATGGCAAAAAGATAAACAATTATTAGGATCGTTAGTACTTATTTTCTCGACAAGATTTTTACCCACACTAGCAAAGTACTCATTTACTTTATCAATCAAATCTGGCGAGGATTTCGAAATTAACAGGTCTAAACTATTGACACTTGATTGTTTTGTATGGTTTATATTCTATATGTGCTTCCAGAGAGTTTTACTTGATTTGGATGATATTGCTAAAAGCTTCCTTTCATATTACCGTTTAAGTTTCTTGATTAATTTAGTAACATAGTTGCGATACCTTTTGTATGTAATTTTTAATACTTCATTATAAGGATTCAATCTTAGCTTCTTTTGCATACTATTCCTATTTCGTATACATTTTAAAATACCTGTTGTTATCCATGGTATAATTTTTCGCTTGTTACTAGAAATATTTACAATTTTTGTATTTTCTTCAATTGATTCTTTTATTTTGTAAATTAATTGATGTATTATATATTCCGGATGATCACTAAAAAGAAGGTTAGACAGATTTTTTTGAACTAGACTGGCAAGTGCTTTATAATAGTCAGTGTTGCGTTTAATTTTAACATTAATTACAATTTTGTCTAATATTGCTTAATTTGAGTATTATCATAGCATGATCTATGATAGAAGTGTTCAGTACAGCAATCTCAGCAGAAATAGTTTGTTGATTTAATTTTAGTATGAAATGATCCAAGCAGCTGTTCTCTCTTGTAGGTATATGATGTCCCGGTAAAAGCCCATACGTAGAAAGCATAAGTATTTCGACCTATTAGTTATTTCGTATGTTTGTTCTGTAAGTCTAGGTGTAATATTTATATTATAATATAATGTTATAATAGTTAATAATATGCCAGCGCAACTTGTCTACCTCTTCTTCCAGCTCCAGTAACTTCTCGTCAGTCCTCAGGGTGCGTGCGTTATATGTTGCCAGGTAGAGTCGTCGTAGGTGGCAACCGAACCCGGAGATTCTTAGCACCCCCTGCCCTGCCGTTACCATGGTCGCCACCGTAGCCAGGAATAGCGGGGCCGCCGGGGACTGGGGGCCGTTTGTTTGCGTCGTTATTCATGGGGGGATATTTGCCATAGTTGTCACGCTTGGCGAGCGGGTTGGCAACCGCAGTTTGTTATTATATGACTGTTGTTATCAGGAAGTTGCTGCTGCCCATCTCCTGCCTCTTACGACACCCACGGGAAGATATGGTGTAGTGGATATTCTCAACTGCCGCTACACGTATATGTAGTCGTAGGTTTTATCAATTTTTTGTTTCTTCGAAAAATAGTCTCAAAGTCTTTGGGATATAGCCTAGATCACTCCTGATATTGCTCTTTACCTGTTCGTGAAGTTTCATCATAATCGATTAAACCATTTCAAGATTAGTCCGGACACTCAGACAGTAATTTTTTTGCAAATGGTTATTTTTGTATTAAAGGCATTCACATAAGCCCCTGAGGTTGGATAGAAGGCAGTTAGATCGATGTTACATACATACACTTCAATTTTATTTATACTTAGGCATTGTTGGCGACGCGAGATAATTAACTCACTAAATCATTCATTGTTTCTTAAGATAAAATGTCGAATTTATGTTCATTTTATAAAATGCTAATTTCCGAAAGAAATATGGATATTTGTATTAACATAGAGTAATGCCTTACATGTTAATCGGCTATGTAGTGCGAATTAAAGAATTAAGAGCATTTTCATTTTCTTTAAGCACTTTTTATCAATGTTTACATAATGTTTTAATCACTGATAAGATGTATCAATCATAGGATTAGATAAGAAAAATTAATGCTAGAATGAAATGGTGTATTATATGACAAGGATAAGTATGCATGTAATGAACGTTTTGGATAGATTCCGTATAACAATAAGACGAGAAATATATTTATAGTAGGTATTTAATTTTATTTTATTGATAAAATATGTGAAATTAGTAATGAAATTGCTTGTAAAATTGTGATATTTTAGTTAATAGAATCAGGCGTTACTTTGCGGAATTCCATTATATTAAAATTGTAAGGATTCACACACAACCGCTCAATGAAATAAAATGATGTGCCTTACCTAGTTTGAAAAGCAACTTCCGCCCTCCCTCAATTGCGAGCACCAATCCCGTCACCACTTATCCCAGCACCACTACTTTCAACACCACTACACTAGGAAAGACACACCATAGACGATAATACGACACGTGTTTCCCCTCTAAACGAGGCATCCTCAGGTGATATACATTCTGCTGCGTAGACAGAAAATGCGGTGTCTAAGTGAGCGGCAAGCCAAAACAGCTGCTATAGCTCGCTGACGCAAAAAATAATAATAATAGGTCATAATAAGCACAGTTACGGAAAAAATATTTATAAAAAATAGTCAACCGTCAAATGCGAACTAAAGTGATGGTGATCAGTGGTACAATTGTATTTTATTATTAGTGTTTTTTGAGTTGTAATTGGTGTTCCGCAATTAAAGTGTCAATTTTGGTAATTCAATCGGCAGTTTTTATTGTCACGAACCTCAAGTAACAATACATATAAAATTACATCCTTAAGATTATCGTTGAAGTAAGTTAATTTCTCCACTTTTCAGGAAGAAGACAAAGGAAATTTTAAAGTGTATAACTTTAATATTAGCCATATTTTGATGGATGTTAGTTTTTTTCAGCTATCGTATTAACAAACAAACTAACGAAACGAATACACCGTGTTTTAGTACAGAGCTGTTCTATATATATCAAGTAGGTATTTAGGAACTTTGATAGCGTGATTAAGGCTTCGGTGCATTGAGCTTGTAGCGAGACTATAGCGCCGCCACAAATGGATACATAGTAGTATACATAGAAATATTTTGATTCGTCAGCACCTGTATAGTCTTGTTCCTGGAGAGTAGCTCTGTGCGCTGGCGGTGCTCCTGCGCGTCGTCCAGCTGTCGCGCCAGCAGAGTGCGCCGCGCCACCACCGCCCTGTGCCAGACGCTCGACCCGCTCTCCACGTACGCCATCTCTTGCACCATCGCGCGCATCTGTGCCCGTGCATTTTTATCACAGACGGTGTTTCACCATCGTGTCTCGGAAAGCATGTAAAGCCGTTTTTCTTGCGCCTGATCTCTCTCCGGTCTTGTCGGATTATTGACTCATACGACAATGAGGTTAAGGGAATAGAGAGTACATTTATGCTTTTGCATATAGTTGGGTACTATAATCTTGTCTTACGCAAATGGTTAGTCTCCGTTGAGATGTTCTGGTCTGTGGTGTTATCATTATAGCTGAGTGGCAGTGGACCAGCTATATAGCTCATAGAATTAGTTAGTAGCTCGTTGGGGAACAGAGGTTCTAGAGTGACAGCCTCGTACCCGTAAGCGGAGTATAGTGTATATATAGTGGCCCCCTTACTAGATGTGACGACTTGGTCAGACATGCAGGAAGTCGATGGATTCAGGTGAACCAGGCTCGTGCTTTGTGGCATTCCTTGGCGGATGCCAATGTTCAGCATGTACTAGTGAAGGACTGTAATGATATTGATGATGATTATGTGAAAGCGTGGTCCTACCTCAGTTGAGCAGACTCTGTCATACTACAACCATAATGACTCATGACTCTACCACGTATGAAATAACTTATAAATACCTATAGTAAGTTCTTTCTTGTAGATCGGGTAAAAAATAATGATTTAAAGTTAAAGGTAGCCCTAGTTAACAAAGATGTTAGAACGTTCAAAACCTCAGTTATCCGACCATAAGTGCTGCAAAATACTCGAAACATGCTGCGAACAATTTGACTCAGCAGCGTTTTGCAGAGCAAAAAGCAGAAGAACCGACTACCGATAGGGAATAAATGTTTTCGAGTGAACACGGTAGTTTTGCCTCATAGCGTAAGGCGGCCCGTAACTAGATGTAGGTAACGACCTGGAAAGACATGCAGAAAGTCGATATTGACAATCGCTATCCTACCTGCATGTAGGTGGCTCAGGACCGTGTTTTGAAGAATTACTTGGATGAGGCATATGTTCTGTAGTTGCAATTAGGAACTGCTGGTAAAGATGAGGTTGATTAAATACGTACTTACCCTAATTTCGTTTTCGACTTTTGTACGACGCAACTTGCACATTGTTGCCCAAAGCGCCTCGTCCATCACGGGCGGCATATTGCTGATCATGTCCAGCTGCTCGAGACTAAAGAAAATTAATAAAATGGATTATTACAAAACTTTTTTGAAACACAAAAGACCATCTTTTAAATATAAAACGGCAAGGAGCAGAGTCAATTTGAAAAAAATTTACTTTACAAGAAAAAGGAGATAAAATTTAAACAATAAATACATCATAGATCAAGATTTAAAAAAATTCTATGGCTAATGATGTGCAGTGCGAAAAAGATTTTTAATATAGAATTGTAGTACCGATTATAAGTAACAAATTATAATGTAAAATGAAAATTGTTATAATGTGAAATACAAGGCCGCACTGAAGCAACATACATTAGGCAGCCGCTCCGAGAGTTTTGATGGGTTTCTTCTAGAGCTCCAAATCGGTGTCGCAAGGGCTCACCCTTTACTATCTCTGTGCAGTCAAGTGCAGACCTGCTGCGGAATTTGCATAAACGGTGCGTGTCCCACGGGGTGGGGTACACAGGTGTGCAAGGTGTGTATGTGTTTATATGATCTTGAGTGTGTGGTGTGGGCATACTGGTGTGTACGTAGTCCGGACAGTGGAGGTACAACAGCAAGAGCGTGCACGGTGTGTACTCAAGAGCATGCAAGGTGTGTACACAAGAGCGTGCAAGGTGTGTACATATGAGCGCATAAAGTGTGTACCAAAAGAGAGTGCAAGGCGTGTGCATAAGATCGTGCAAGGTGACAGAAGAGCGGCGAAGATAAGAGCATGCAAGGTGTGTACACAAGAGCGTCAATGTGTGTACAGAGCGTGCAGGTGTGTACATAAGAGCGTCCAAGGTGTGTACAAAATCATGCAAGGTGTATACGCACGCGCGCAGGTAGTCCACGCAGTCGGGGTGCAACATCGGCGGCCGCGGGCCGCCCGCCGCCGCGCCCGCCAGCTGCAGCAGCACACCTGGCGTCATGCTAGCCCGCTGCTGCCACTTTGGACGCTTTCTGCCGACAGACAATATCACGTCACAAATTTACTGTAATGTAAGAGAACCGACTGTTCCATCCATGATCCATATAATCCTGTGGGAGTTGTAAGAGGTGACAGCGAGAAACTAATAAGGAAATACGGTTGCCAACCCGCCCTATATATATATTAGAGATGGACCGAATATTCGTTTCATATTCGGTATTCGTCACATTCGGCAACTTTACCGAATATTCGTATTCGGCCGCTGAATTGATACTCTAAGTGTCCATTGTATTGAAATGTACGAATTGAGTAATGCCATATGTTTCATAATTTTACTGTTGAAAGTATATTTTTTTATGGGTAAAATTTTTGAGGAAATGTAGATTTATTTCCAATTACAGCAAATAGAAAGCTTGATAAAATGTTTTTGGAATCAAACAAAGAAATATTACATTAAGTTAGTACATTTCACTTCTCTCAATCACTCGTCAATTTCTCTAAAATAAGTCCAAATAGTAGATCTCCTGCCACTCATTTTTAGCATATAATTATCAATTTTCACTATGAATAATACAACGAAATATTTTTTTCTCACAGAAATTATCATAAGCATCTCTCAGAAATTAAAAATATATTGAAGACATTGAAAACCGCCAACACGCTTTTGGACATCGCGATGGACACTTCTTGCCCTCAGAAGAAAACCATCTCAGAGATAGGACTTTACCACGAACGATTTCTGGAGTTTGGTATCGTTTTTAGTATTAAACATCAGACTGATGTGACATTTTTCAATGTAAACTATTGTCCTGTAGAACCTCTCCTTCAATTAAAAGTTCTCCATGCGTGCCGGTGAGGTTGACATTCGGAGACGAAGTTCGTCCATATTACCTTATTCATAAAATTGCTTAAAATCGGTTCATAACCTTTATTAACTACATACTCATTATTACATGGTTGACTTTTTCGAAGTTTCACATTAGTAACATTTTTTCATAATTAATCCCGGGTACATTCAAATTTGGCCCAAATAAGAGAATTACTTAGGCTGTAGCTCGAATGAAAGCTAATATAATTTTTATAGAAGTACCTAAAGTTGTCAAGTGAGCACTACTCTGTGAGGAGCTCGCAGTCCATCTAAAGCTAAGAAGATGCTGTGGCCCATAAGCATCTACTCGTACATCTATCCGCCACTAATAAACAAAACGCGGACGCGTTGTCACCTCTAAGGTGAAGATAGAATGCCTCGTTGCCAGTTTGGTTGGTCAAAATTCTGAAAATAACTATACTTTCATGAGGTTCTTACTGACCACTCCACCAAAGCATAAATAAAAGTATTTTAATCATGTCATGCAGAAAACAGAATCTGAATTTAAACAACATTCTTCCCCTTCTTTTTGTTCTTTCTTTTTCATTCCCTTCTGGGGGCTGTTTTTTGGTTAGTCTAAATATTAAAAGTCATTGTGATTTAACTTTAACGTTGATCGGTAGCACCTCTTTGTCGATTTTTCCGGACCGATACGACTTAGCGACCTTCAAGAAAAGAGCTTACTCCTTTCCAAAAAGGCCGGCAACGCACTTGCAATTCCCCTGTTGTTGCGGATGTTCATGGGCGGTATTAGATACTTACCATCAGGTGAGCTGCATGCCAGTTTAAATCCCCTTCCATAAAAAAAATTATAAAAATAATTGGTAAAATTGAATTGTTAACTACAAAAAAGCCTACTGTTTATCAAAATCAAAACTTACTTGAAAAATTTATAACACTGATCAACTATAATCGGTGACAGATCAGCAAAGTGATTCTTGAAGGTCTTGTCCATGTGCCTGTCTTTCTGCGCCAGTGCGTCATATGAGGCCTGGCACTCCTCGCTCTGTTCTTGTATCAGTTGAATCTCCTTCTGCAACTGCTCTACTTCTGCTTCGTATTTTGCTATGTTATTTCTAAATTAAAATAATTAATAATACTTATGTGATGAAATTCTATAGTATACAGCCCATGCATTTTTGTTTTTAAATCGAGTCACCTTATTTCTTCCGTGTGTTCGGCCATCTCGATGCGATCCAAATTTGTTCGTCGAAGTCTCATGAGAATTAAATTTTCTTGACTGATTATGGAATCAACCCTCAACTTCAGCAGCCACGTATCTTTTACCTGTAATAATTGTGCCGTATTTTGTATTGTACAGCTCTTCTATTCCAACTGAACTACACTACTTGAAAGAATTGCCTTTGGCCACTACGCAGGCAGGCGTGTTAATGAACACTGGTAATACGGCTCCCCAATATTAATCCTCTGGACGAGTTACTGCACTAGAACGTCCTGCTGTCCACCGCTGCATAGATTAATTCCAAGGTGCAATCTTGACTTTCGCTAGGTTACGAAGTAAGTAATATCAGCCAGCGACCTTCAGAATCGCTCATCTTAGAGTTAGCTCAGTTACAGTATCCAATTCGTGCTGGTGGGATTTCCCAAAGACTCAATACTAATTCAAATTAATCCTATATTACGTAACGTACGTACGTAAGCGTAAAATTACGTTTGCTCTGACATTGGCATTTAAAAATGTAGTTATACTTAGAGACCCCATTATTTCTAATTTCCATTGATTAAATTTAATTTTTTACGTAAGTTTTATCGCGTTTAATTATTGAATATAATTAATTTCAGACGTTTTAAGTATTTTACAGTACCCATGGTCACGTGTGGATCGAGATATTTGATGTCATCTAGCTCAGATGCCTTTCAAATATTTTTAACTTTTCGTTTGGATCAGATGATGATTTGACCATCTCGTTAACTCAGACTAATGGATGATTCACGTTACACCGTGTCGCGATCGGGCCAGGCCCAGGCCGAGCCCTGGCCGGAACACGGACAAACATCTTATCATACATTTTGTATGAAGTGATTCATGATTGACAGTGGCCCGGCCGTGCGCCGCCAGGACCCGGCCGGGGCACAGCATCGAAATGTCGATGGGTATTATTTCCCGGCTCAGGATCGGCTCGGCCCAGACACGTTGTAACATAAACGTGTACGCCGGGCGCCCGCAGGGCAGTCGACGACAAATCTTTGAGATGTGAACAGCCCAATATCAAAATTAAAAACTGCTAGAATGTGTGCGCAAAAATCCTGTAGTTTACGACATGTTCCATCTTAAGTACGCGTTTGCAAATCAACCAAAATTAGGGTGTTTTTCGGTAGATTTTGTGACAAAACTAAACCAAATCAAATATAAGTAAAAACTACCATGTATAGATTGGTTCTTCATCTGCAAATGTCTGTAACTCTTTTGTTGAAAATAGTAGTTTTTTATATCGTAAAAACGAACTTTCGTTGCCATTTTCTACAAAATTAACGATACCGGCTTGTGTTTCGGTACATGTTTTGGTCTATTATCAACATATTTAAAAAATTTAAAAAATACTATAAGATGACAGACATATTCAATTAAAAAACCCTGGGTTTATTTTTTAACAAAATGTCACAAATAGTCGTAAAAAAAATAAAAACTGATGCACATTTTTTCACATATTTTGGTAATATGGATGAATCATAATGTATTGCAATAAGGGCTATTTTATTGTTGGTGCCTGCTTTGATTTATTGTACAAAGATTTCGATGAAACCACAGTCCGCGCTCGGCCGCCGTCGTGAGTGGACGCTGTATCGCCTGTTTGCAGCGGCTCATTCTGAAAAGATCGCTGTACATACACAAAATATTAGAAAAAAACAAATTGGAAACATAAGTACTTGACAAGTGATAAAATTATTATTTTTATACTCACAGTTTTTATTTAGCTAAAAATAAGTAGGATATATAAACTTACCTACTACTGCAACTCGTGGACGAGCGGAACTAGGTGTGCCGAGTTTGGGCTCGTTTTGTTGGTTATGATGAGACCTTACCTCTGGACTTGATGGCATGACCTGAAGGTGTACTTTCGTGACCGCTATTTGAACTTCTTGCAGAGTAAAACTAGGGGTGACGAATTTGGGCTCCGTTTTGTTAGTTATGACGAGTCTATACCTCTGGACTTGATGGAGTGACCTGAAGGTCTAAATCGGTGATTGCAACTGGAACTCCTAGACTGGTAGAACTAGGTGTGCCGAGTTTGGGTTCGTTTTGTTAGTTACGATGAGACCTTACCACCGGACTTGATAGAGTGACCTGAAGGGGTAATTCAGTAACTACTGCTGGAATTTCTGAACGAGTAGAACTAGGTGTGCCGAATTTGGGCTTCGTTTTGTTAGTTATGACGAGTCCATACCTCCGGACTTGATGGAGTGACCTGAAGGTGTAGTTCAGTGATTACAAGTGGAACTCCTAGACTTGTAGAACTAGGTGTGCCGAGTTTGGGTTCGTTTTGTTAGTTACGATGAGACCTTACCACCGGACTTGATTGAGTGACCTGAAGGTGTAATCAGGTGGTTACAAATGGAACTCCTAGACTAGTAGAACTAGGTGTGACGAGTTTGGTTTCGTTTTGTTAGTTACGAAAAGACCTTACCACCGGACTTGATGGAGTGAAATTCGGCACACCTAGTATCTACTGGTTCAGAAATTCCAGCAGTAGTTACTGAATTACCCCTTCAGGTCACTCCATCAAGTCTGGTGGTAAGGTCTCATCATAACTAACAAAACGAACCCAAACTCGGCACACCTAGTACCACAAGTCTAGAAGTTCCACTTGTAATCACCGAACTATACCTTCAGGTCACTCCATCATGTCCGGTGGTAAGGTCTCATCATAACCTACAAAACGAACCCAAACTCGGCACACCTAGTTCCACCAGTCTAGGAGTTCCAGTTGCAATCACCGATTTACACCTTCAGGTCACTCCAAGTCCGGAGGTATGGACTCGTCATAACTAACGAAACGGAGCCCAAATTCGGCACACCTAGTTCTACTCGTTTAGAAATTCCAGCAGTAGTTACTGAATTACCCCTTCAGGTCACTCCATCAAGTCTGGTGGTAAGGTCTCATCATAACTAACAAAACGAACCCAAACTCGGCACACCTAGTTCTACTAGTCTAGGAGTTCCACTTGTAATCACCGAATTACACCTTCAGGTCACTCCATCAAGTCCGGTGGTAAGGTCTCATCATAACCAACAAAACGAACCCAAACTCGGCACACCTAGTTCCACTAGTCTAGGAGTTCCTATTGTTGTAATCACCAAATTACACCTTCAGGTCACTCCATCAAGTCCGCAGGTAGGTAAGGTCTTATTATAACTGACAAAACCAGTTCAAAGTCCAGAGCTAACATCTCACTACCAGTAGAGGGCTTCCAGTGCCAAGCAGTCTTTGGAGCAGGTATTCATATTTCGTATCGAAGTATATTTCTGAGGTAGGTATAAGAAATGAAAAACAAATTCAATCTTTCAAATTATCTAAATAATTTCATTTGACTACGATTCCCACAGCCAACCGTGCGTACACTAGTGTGTGTGTGACTTTTGTCAATGTAGTAGTGCGATTCTATACCTATCCATTTTGTAAACGCGTCCAGTATTTGGATAGTAAATACAAAAATGTTATTTGGAAAACAATATCAATTAAAGTTGTGAAAATTGCATATTTAACTCGAGCGTCACGTCTATCGACTGATGAAATCACTAGTAGACACAAAATATCTATCACAGACACGGCCGTTCAATGAATGTACACGGAAACAGCCCGCTGTAGCACGAGTTCTCATACAACCACGTTCCGTCTCCGTTCCGATTCCGTGCACATGCTGATTCCGTCCTGTATGCAGCGACCTCTAAAATAATCGAACCCGCGGTGGGGAGCACCTTCACGAGCATGCATTGACATTTGATGATAAATTGTTATCAAAAAGATGTTGCTGCCAATTTTCTATTCCTATTTCTCTCTGTCGCAAGTAGAAATTACTAACCTTGTTTCCGAGTATCTTAACATATTAATAAGTATCCGAAATGTTAGTAGCTGCTCAAGAAGTGTTATGTTTTGTGTATTTCATTGATGAAGAGAAAAATTTTTTCTGGATGTCCTTGTGCAATGTGTGTATACTAATTTCCACAATACAGAAAAAAATTCTTCTTCTGGGTTTAACGTTTTAAAAAAATATGTGTGTATGTGTGTGTATGTGAATAAAAAGTGGTCTTACAACATCCACAGGACCAAAAGGCGTTACTGAATTCTCTTATGCCTTCAAAATACAGCACATCATTAATTATTATCAAAGAATATACGGGTTTACCTTCAGGTTGAACTTGACGATGCCTTCGTTGAGGAGTTGAGAAAGCTTGGCGTACTCCGCGTGCAACATCTTGCGGTACTTCTCGCGCTCTTCATTACGGAACGCGACTTTCGCTTCGTAATCGAACACTAGGCGCAGGTCGTCCTCGTTGAAGTGCTCTGGATCTTTCTCTAGCTGTATTTGATAATATCAATTTTCATTACAAATAAATTCTAAGTAATAATTCATGAAGAATACCACAAAACACGGTCCAGAGACTCCTGCATCCATCAACTTCTAGCATGTCACCAAGTAGTGGACTTGTGACGGTAACAGTACGAATGGGTCGATGAAATGGGGAAAGACCTCGCTCGCACTAAATAGTAGCATGTAATATGTTTATATAATGCAGTTTCGTATGGTGAGTGACGAAAAATGGAGATAATTTTATTGTTATTAAATAGGCATACTGTTGTATAAGGAGACAATCTATCTTAGTATTTGAGAGACATCTGAATTTAGATTATTTTTCTGGATATGTGTAGAAATCCATCTACGATATTGACGACATCTATGATACGGATTGAATGGTACGATATCGATGCAACTTCCGCCTTGTCGAAGTGTTACCGATACCGAATATTAATTTATTTGGTATACATTATTCAAACCGGTATGCAAGTCTATTGTTAGTAGCAATGCAATAGTTTTAGTAGTAATATTGCTCTCAAGTCCATCACATAACATTAGAGTAGGCCAAGAGAGCGTCGGAGTGAGATACTATGCATGGAGACACGGATACGGGCTTCTTTATGTCCCCGTGAAAGATCTTCTGGAGTACGTGGTGTATCACAGAGTGGGACAAGAGAGCAAGGGGGTGAGGTACCACGCATTGGGGCATGGCCACGGGTTTTTTAATCTCCTCGTGCTAGAGTGTCTTAAGCACGCCGTCCATCATGTACAGCAGCGTTAAAGTGGGACAAAAGAGCGAGGGAATGAGATACCATGCACTGGGGCATCGGCACGGGCTTCTTGATCTCCTCGTGCCAGAGCTTCTCAAGCACGCCGTCCATCATGTACATCAGAGCGCGCTCGCGGAACTCGTCGGGCCCGCCCGCCGCCGGAGGAGCCACCGACATCTGGCTGGGGCTCACGTACGGCGGGATGCTGCACTGTGCACACAATAACACACGTTAAAGTCGGTTGAAATACCGGATGTCAGGGACCCAACACCTTTTTTAACGTATTAGGTGTTTCGTTACGTTTAGGCATGAAACGTTAGTGCATACGGGTGTCGCGTTTACGTTGAGAACTATTAGATACATATATTATATAGGAACTTAGCATCCAGGAGCATTCGTCGCCGCTTTAAGCTAGGCAGCGAAAATACGATTTAATAACGACTTCTTATATTTACGCTAACGCTACATGTTAAGAGGACAAACAGACTGATCCCATCAGGGGCATAGCTACGGTCGTAACAGCCGTATCAATGAACTTGTGTAAGCAAAAATTCGTAAAATGTTATCCACGATCATACATAAACTCTTAGGGCGTCCCGAGAAAAAAATCATTTGATAAATTGTGCCTAACGTGCCTAAAAAGTAGTTTTTACTCCTAAAATTATGAAAGTCAAAAACGGAAACTTTTTTTCCCGGGTTGAGTGAGCGCCCAAAAGTTGGCAACACGTCTCACTTCACGATTGACCACGGATTACTAAATCCGCAATGCGCGCCTGTCAGCATACATCAGTTACTTAGGGATTCCCCCGTTTAAATGAATGACAATGATAAACCAGTTCCTAGGAGTATTAATAGTAAGTAATAACTTATAAACAATTCATAATTATTTTAATTTAATATCAGCGTTTTTGTTCAATTTAACCTTTATTTGGGCCTCCCATAAAATTTTGATACAAGGCCCGTCTTAGGCACGCTACGCTACTTGATTCCACGTACGCAACGTAAGCGATGCAACGCTCGCACCTTGGTGTACACACTTGGCCTACGTATACAACGTACGTTTGATTTATACAGATATATGTAAGTTTCTGAACGATTGGTGAATGTTGATCCCATATAAATTTAAAGAAAAAAATCCACCCCAATGATGGTAAAACAGGGAATGAAGGTTTTGATGTAAATATTTGGTCGACATTGAAATTGTGAATTCCTTAGTGTACTCAAAAATTTGAAAATAAAAACTTTTAATAAGAAGTAAAACTCAACTTCAAAGTCAAATTCGAGGCATAATTTTTTTTATCCGCACCTTTTTTTCTTGGCACCGACTTTAGAATGTGCAATTATTTTATTTTTTGTAGTCCTTTGAAGTCAGGTTTACTTTATAATAAAATTTAATTTTTATAGATAGACAGAAATTATTTTGCGTCATTTTTTATCATAATGAGAGAATATTTTGCCATATTTCTGTCGTACAGTAAAGCGGCTTTCAGACTACGCTGTAATACACGTTCACACTGTACTGTACTATATATTATTAACAATGTATGGTGCGCGATAATGTTGTGCTATCAGCTTTTTATTATTATGCTATTATATTATAGCGTAGTCTGAAAGCCGCCCGCCCCCAGCCCAGCAAGTCGCCCATCGTTGCTATGCACAAGTACAATCGTTTCCTGACTGTGAGAAGCTCTTTTAACTGTGTCATTAACTACGGCTATGGTAAATAGCTGGAAAGAGAATTATTGCGATTCAAAAGACATTGAATTTGATTGATTGTACAAGAAACATTTGTCAGATTTTTGACATAGTTTGCCAGGTGCTAGTATGTTAGCTGAGTTGAGGATTCACTCCTATCACCATCACTTTATTCAATTAACAATTTAACAATTTATGGCAAGCCAAGGCTTATTTAGTTTTACAAGCTTTTCCAGTACATCTATAAATTTATAAATCAATCAAAATAATGGAGAAGATAGATTTTGAGATAGTAATTGCTTGCTATCCTTTTACGAAATTACCTCTTCAGGTTCGACTTTGATAAGCTTATGCGGCTGCTCCTCCTGACGCCATTCGGGATCCTTTATCTCGATGTTTAAGTGATGGAAACTGCCTCGTAAATTAGACAGTGTGTTTAACTCTGAAATTAAGTATTCTGAATTTTGTTACACGCTTAAACAAAACTCTGAAAAATAATTAAATACAGAAGATACTCAACAAAAGCAGAATTAAGAAGATATCCGAAATGCGTTTAAGCCACATAAACGTTATCCACTGTTTTCTCCCTCGATGATGACTCCTATTTTTACAATCTATATATCTACCATTGCCGTTCCCATGTTTTGTTTATTTTTCCATATAGCAATTATTTTAAAAAACTTTAAACTATCTTAAGTTATTAAAACTGCCCAGTTATGCTACCATTTATAAACACCCAACAAACAAATTTAACCAACATATTAAATTAAAGAAAAACATATATTTTACGTGGGAGGTACAGCCGCGCTGCAGCTATATTACTTATAGCACGATTGAGGCGGCTTGACCGGGGAAGGACCATGCTCTCACAGAATACTAGCGTAAAATAGCAGTTTAATGTTGCTGTGCTCCGTATGGTGAGTGAGGTATTCCATCTTTGTCCTGAAGGTTGACAAAGCATCTACATTTTGATTCTTAAGGTGGCTCAAGTCGCGGGCTCGAACTCATTGGTGGGCGCGGCCAAAAAGCACGTTGTCTCACCTGGCATCGTGCCCCACAGAGATAGTACCAGTGAAGAGCAGTTAGAACGCACGTCTTGTTCGTACGGCGTTCCGAACCGTTAGAACAAAAACGAAGTTACACGAACACGATGCACACATACATACCACCCTATTCTGTGCCGCTCGACGCTTGCTGAGAAATCAGCAGTACCTACCTACAAACTCGTACTAAATTATTAGGCACTACGTTATCGCTTTATACTATACCTCTATGGCTCTATAGATACCTAATATAGATTGCTTATTTTATTATGTTTTCTTTTCCCCGGGTGGTCATGCAGCGATCACTCAAGAGTTCACGACGCCGAAGCATGAACTGAAACAGTCATCGCAATTTATATCCGTACTAGCTGTTGCCAGCGGCTTCAAACGCGTGACCTCGAAAATTATCCCACAGGAACGAAATACCTGAATAAACGGTATCAAAAAATCTGTTATTCCAGACCAGGTATAACCTATCTCTGAGCTAAATATCATCCAGATCCCTTCAGCTGTTCTGGCGTGATTGAGTAACATACATCTATCCATCCAAACTTTCGCATTTATAATATTTAGATAATAATTGTAATTAGTTCTGCCTACCTATAAATTGTTTTCAAAAATACTTACCTGTCTTCTTACTTTTTTTATATACACACAATATCACTAGATGTAAACACATGTTTTTATCAAGACAAGTGACCCGTCAAGACTGTTTCCTTAGTACCGACGTACTTAGGCAGGTAGTAGTAGGTAGGCAAAAACGATTACTACTGAAAAACTAAATAGCTACCTACCTAACATTCAAATAAAAATATTCTCAAAAAGCTCAACCAATTCAGAATTTAATTTTGTTATAAGAAAATTGGTCAAATAAAAAATAAAGGATGAAAATAAAGCATATGGGAATATAAAAATAAATCGTATTTATTTGTTATTTCGAGTTTTACAAGAAAAGCATAATATTTACTGGAGAGAATTATTTTATTATTATAATAGTACATGATATTCCCTTTAAAATGACACCAATATGAATAATATCTTATATCTATATCTACAAATAAATAAAATTTAAGTGTCTGTTTGTAATGTTAAAATAACAGCTTTTTATTAAATGCATATGAAAGTACTAGTAACAAAAACACATTTTTTAAAATTTCAAACACCACAATCTCTAATTTTTTACTCTGCTATCTTCAGCGCTGTACACGAACGGAACGATGTCGTTGAGAGCCGTGGTAGCTCACATGGTTAGCGCTCGTTATAGGTATCACAGTACGGGAGCAACCCGGGTTCGATCCCCACTGGCACCAATGAAATTGTTGCGTGCTGATTTAGCTATCAGTTGGAAAGTCTGTTTTTCTGGGCCGTTTTGTTTTGTTACACTGACATCTCGCAAGTCACCTAGGGATCTAGGAGGTTGTCGGTTGCTTATTTTTTTATTTTTCTTTAAAATTTTCGTCGGTAAAATAACATATTTACAAAAGTAAAAAAAAGTAAAGTTACAGCCTATATTATATACGTCCCATTGCTGGGTACAGAACTCCTCTAATTTCTGAGAGGGTTGCAAGGAAATGTCCGCCACGCTGCCTCAATGCGTGTTGAACTTCACATTTCTTCGAAATATATACTTTTTAATTTCTCAGACATGCAGACCCGAGTTCGATCCCCGCCGGTATAAATGAAATTGTTAATTGCAATTGTGCTGATTTACCACGTGCTCGGCGGTGAAGGAAAACATATTGAGGAAACCTGCACGTCTGAGAATATAATTATAATCGAATTTAAATCAAATTGACATAGGTAAGTACAGATAAAATTAGCGGAACATTAATAAAATTTTGAGATCGTTTTTTTTTTCAAAATTTTATTTATATATTCCTCTATTTTTGTCTGTGCTTATATCAATTTGATTTAATCCAAAGTTCAAGCAAAGGTCAATGTAGCGTAGTAATTTAGAGCGCAGGTATAGCTATAATCATACGAACGTCACAGGCCGCAGCTGACAATGACGTCGAATAAAACTAGAATAAGCGCGCGTCACTCCCAGTCATGTCCTACGCGGGCCCCGTCTTTGCCCACGCTAACCCTAATATTTTAAATGAACTCCAAATAGTTCAGAACCTCTTCTGTCGTCGAGCTGCGAACGCACCTTGGTACGTCCGTAATGCCGACCTTCATCGGGACTTAGAGCTCCCAACAATTCAACAATTTTTTAAAAAACTCTCTGAGAACTTCTTCAAAGCCTCAGAGTCGCACCCAAACCATTTAATTCGTGAGGCAGCTTCTTATACAGCCCCACCCCCCTCTCGCTATCGTGTCCGCAGGCCGAGAAACTCTCTCTCGGACCCGCCTAATAAACTTTCAAACGACCTGAACTGTCTCCTGGCGGCTCAGGCCAACTCTAATTAAATAAAATTATTGTAATAACTAACATTAAATTGCCTTCGTAGGCACTCCCTCAGCGGCACTTAGCCGCCTGCGCCCTCTTTTCCCAAAAGAGGGTCGCTCATGATAAGGCACAATAGAGCTTAATCAGCCGGTTGCCTGTCCCCAAAGGCGGTTTTTAGAGGGTATCACTTAGGGTCCCCGGTAGGACAGTGAGCCCCTCATAAACACGATAATGCATTTTCCGCCTCCCTACGTATAGGGTAGCCCTTTAAATTGCTTCGGGCGCAAAAAAAAAAAAAGCGCGCGTCACCGCGCATGCATGTTGTGTAAGTGTCGTCCTCCCGCACCGCACCGGGGGAAACATTATTCAGTGAGATGCACGATAATTCATATAAACACGCGCGCGTAAAAAAATACGAAAAGGCCTTTGGAAGGAGGGGTTTTATGAAAAACCCACTGCATGAATCAATTACCAATAAAATTTATTGAATTTTTCGATAATTGAGCTGTGTCGGTACCGACTTTGTTTTGGAAATTTTACACTGCTTTTATTACTAATTTACGCCCAAAGTTGTGTTAAAATTGGCAATAAAAACGAATCTTTGGTAGCTCGTAACTTTTTACTGACTTTTTATTTTACTATTCTGTTTCGGTACAGACAAAATTAATAATGAGACAAAACGATATCATGTTTAACTTTGGATGTACACTGTCAAACAGCGGAGTAAAACCCCTCCGAAATTTCTATGGAAATAATGTCGACTAGAGTCACCTTAATCGAAAACAGATGTAGATGTCAATAGGCCACAGTACCCATACCATACCCTAACATACCCTATCATCAGGTGGACTGTGCACTTGTTTGCTATCCTTATACTATAAAAAAATACAGACAGCCCCAATCCTTCTTACATTTTTCATGAATAAAAATGTACCTAGTTTAGAAGAAAAACAGGGGAATACGGGATATAATATAGGTATATAATAATATAGTGAGTGTCTTATTCTGAGTTGCAGGTTCTCTCTCTGATAGCTCTGTCGTTCCGTTACAGCATGATATCAAGATCGTTAAAAATATTCTTTAAATTTCTTGCAGCCCGGATATCTTCTTAAGAAAATAATAGCAATTCCTGAAATTTAATTACAAAAAATTATCCAAAACATTTTTAAGTCTTGAAGCTAACCCTCAATTATGAATCGCAAACGTGTGTTCCTGTCTTGAACCAGGCCAACCTCGCGCTTTTTAAGGTTCATCAAGTCGTCGAACTGCTTGTTAAACCATAACCTTAAGTTCTGAGTGTTCAACTGGAAAAAAAGAAATTGGAGTTTTATAATTAGAGAAAAGACTATCTCATAATTCGAAAAGGTTGTGAGTGTGCTGTCGTTCCGTTGCGTAGGTGCAGACGGAGGTTATGGCGCAGAATTTGTTTTTCAATGCGGTATGTAGAAGGAAAAATAGGGAGAGCAGGCATCCTTCCAGGGGTTCTTTAGAGACCGTTAAGGGGTGGATGGCGCTTGTGGAGGTGTAAGAAGGCGTTTCGGAACTCAAAGGTCAAAAGTTTTACTTGGTTGGAGTCCAAGATTCATCCTTGCTCCTAAAAAAGTACGCTATATGCTCTCGATAAGTAAAGGACTGTCATTTGGCTTCCCGTTGCGATTTAAATTTAAGTGCGGTGTGTAAAAAATAAATTAAAATACTTATATTGAGTTATTATATTTGTTTTAGTATAAATAGATATTTTTTATTTAAAAAAAATACCTAAAAATAGTGGTAAGTGAGGTTATCATAAAAATCATTTTGAAGAGATTAAAGCTGTGAGCAAATCCAATTATTTTTATTTATTTATTTAATCTTTACTATAAGATACTTTAAATTATTAATTAATATAGACGGGCGTAATGCTTTATAGCATTCTCTAGCGTGCACGCATATTGCATGGTATAAAAATACAACTAGCAAGAAATAGATTGGGGCTCAATAATTGTAATAGGTTAGCGTGCTGACCCGCGCGAGGTGCTGCAGCATGTTGACGTGCAGGAAGCTGTACGCAAGCGGTTGCAGCAGCGCGTAGGGCGGCGTGTCCAGCAGGCGGCGCGTGCGCGTGCCCGCCAGCACCGGCTCGCACGCCCCGCGCCCCTCTCCCGTGTCCTCGCTTGAGCCTTCGCCCACGCCATCCTCCACCGCGTTCACACCTTCCTCCGCCGCCTGGCTCGCAGTGCTCTTGCGCACCGACCGCATCGTCACTATCGAATCCGGACGCCTGCAACTCACACGCTTTCAATGTGTTAGAACCAAGTTGCAGCTATATTATGGTTGCAGCATGAATGGGTCGGCTCCACCTGGGTAGGACCACGCTTTCACAGAACACCAGCGTAAAATATCAGCTTAATGCTGCTGTGTTTCGTATGGTGAGTGTAGGAAAACGGAAACCCTTTTACTGAAAACGAGTAAAAAAAGTTACAAGCTTCCTAAATACTTTACAGCAAAGCAAAGTTTTTTTTTCTATGGAATAAAGGTGACGTACGAGCTCACAGTTGATATACTGATAATAAGTGAATACTGCGGCGAACGTATATGCTCCTATATTTAATATAGATGTATATACGTAAGCTACAGAATCCACTTATTATCAGTATATCAACTGTGAGCTCGTTTATCCTCGACTTAGAATCAAAACGCAGAAGCGTTGTCACTCCTGAGGACTAAGATGGAATCTCTACACTCACCATGCGAAACACAGCAACATTAAGCTGCTATTTTACGCTGCTTCTGTGAGAGCGTGGTTTTTCCCCATTTTGAACCGACCCATTCGTGCTACAACCGTAATATAGCTGCAACATGGCTCTACCACGTAAAAAATTAACAGTAGCAGGGCTTGTATCAACTATCTCAATGTTTCAGGGCGCGGGAAACCAGAGAAGCCCAGAATATATACGCCGGCAGACATATTTTATGAAAAATTAGTGCAAGTTAGATAAAAATAATACCTACCTGGTACAAATTTTTGTTAATTGCATTTTATGCCTTTACCCTTATGGTGGACGTGTAAAGCCTGCTAGCACACGCTGGAGCAGCAGGATGGACTGACAGCCCCATATCCTTCAATGAAGAGGAGACCTGTGCCCAGCAGTGGGAAGTTATAGGCTGTACTTTTACGTAAAATTTTGATACGAAGTCCACTAAAATAGGGTACATTATTTAGCTTCGTATTTTTTTCAACTGCGACGGGATTGACCTTGCTCATTGTTCAAGATGCGCCGATCTTAAGTAAATTACCTTCAATATTAAAATAAATTATAATATTAAGTACATCAATTAACCCTGTAGTGGCGGTGTAGGAATATCCACTACCCCATATCATCCCTTGGGTGTAGAGGCGATAGAGGGAAACTGGAACAGGTGATAGGCAGTAGCGTCTTCCTTATTACAACTCTGGCAACTATGATAAAATCCTCCCTCTGAGACGATTTATGGTGAGGCCTACGTTCTGCAGAACCTTTATAGGCTGTAATGGATGGACGAGTGGATAATATTAAGTACAGTAATTACATTTGATTGTGTTCTACTGCTGGCGTGGGCGTATGTTCTTCCCAAGGTCTGAATACGTCAGCGTCATTCTCCATTTCCAATGTTCTGAGAGCTTCTGTCAGTTGCAGCTCTGGCCATACTTCGCGTTGATTCGGTAGCACCGCAAAGTTTTCTACCTAATTATAAAAAGTCTTTGTGGTAAAAAAGAGTAATGAAAAAGATATAAACAGTTATAAGTATACAAATGCACAATTGTCTATTGGCAAAGTATGTATATTATATTGTATTAGTTGAATAAGTGGAGTAGTTTTTAGACTTTAACCATTGGTCACAATATGTTCGTATACATAATCTATCATGTCAATGCAATAATACTGAAATAGCATGGAGCAATTTTTAACGTAATGCTAATATACACTACAATGTTAGGGTTAAGTATATACATGGTAGTGGCTGAAGATTGAGAAAAGCTTGATACGCGGCGTTATCATGCTGTCCCAGCATTGACTCTTAATCCATGCTGTCACTGTGTCCTGTGCTCGTATACGTGCTTCAGTCTGTAATCGGATTTGCTCGCGTTCCTCTTCGGCCTAAAATAAAACAGATGGCTTTACACGCCGATATACTACTACGATATTTTATGCATATAATATCTTAATATAAGTAAACTAAATCAGAAATGATTTTGTGCTTAAGTCGTCGTGAGTTTTGCAATATTTCTGCTAGAATGAGGCACTAATTCACGTTGTAAACTTTTTTATTCTCATTCTTGCAAGAAGCTTGCTATTTAATTTTGGCATAGAATGAATGAGTGTTTAATATTGTTCAATATAGATTATTATATAATACATATTGAAAGCCATTTTTTTTATTTACCGCTGGTTTGGAAAATACTTCTTTTCTAGGAAAAACTAGCAAGAAACCCAGCGGTACTTTCTTTTAAACATAATACACTTTAAAATTATGTTTTGTACAATTTTTAAATGAATTTTAATAGACCCAGCATGGTGGCGATCATTTTATTCCCAGTCGCTATTTTCATTTATGTATTCTTTGAAATTATAATAACCCTTTTTGTTCAATGTTTCTTTAACAAAACATTAAAACTTGTTTATGGACAAATTTTGAACATTTTCTGGGATTTTTTTTTTTTTTGTAAAAAGCGTATACATTGCCCTATAAATATATTCCTAATTCTGTGGATTCTAGTATCTGGTAGTTGAAAGTATAAGTAAAACCAAGAGCAAATTGTTTCACTAATTTATCAATGTACTAATTTCGATAGAGCATTACTTACGGTGTCAAAATTAATTAACTGCTGTTTGAGTTTGAAAATTAAAAAGGTGTCATCAGCAAATAATACTACTACAGGATAAGATGTCATTAATATAGATTAAAAAAAGGAATGGGCCAATAATAGAGCCCTGAGGAACGCCCATTGTTACTACCGATCTGGAAGAACCTTTACTATTGATAACGCATTTTTGAGTTCTGTTATTTAAATGTAAAATAATACATCTAAATACAATGTTTTAACACCAACATATAGTATAGTAAATATTAAGTACAGTAAATTACATAACATTTCATTGTATTCTACTGCTGATTAATATCTCATGATCAACACTCCTCAAACATAACACAATCAAACGCCTTGGAACGATTCCAAAAAATAAGGCATCTTGTGAATTCTCCCAGGCATTGAACATATTTCATAAGCTCAACACTTGCGTCAGTTACCGAGCGACCCCTTATAAAACCAAATTGATTATTATGGTGTACTTAATTTATTTGTATAAAAAAATTTAACAATTTCAAAAAATAAATAAATTAACAATTATAAAAAAATTTACAATTATAAAAATAATAAATAATCAAAAAATCAATATAACAATCTGAATGACAGGGTGAGAAATTGTGTAATAAGAAAAAAATGTAGTGTGAAAGATGATGTTGTGACCATGATTAAGAAAGGTGGTTTGGTCATGTAGAAAGAATGAACGAGGAAAGAGTGACAAAGCAAATTTATATCGCAGATGTGAATGACAGAGTCGGGAAGGGACGCCCTAGACGAAGGTTTATCGACCAAATTGGCGACATTTTGAAAATGGGTCACATTAGGAGTGCCCTTAACCGACGAGCGTGTATATGTAGATATATGGATGTAAAGGATGCGAGAGAGATGAGTCTGGATTGTGCCAAATGGAAGTCCGTAGTCCCTGCCTACCCCTATGGGTGACAGGCGTGAGCGTTTATGCTTATGTTCTTATGTATGAATACTGTGAAAGAGATCTACAATTAAAAAATAAGTGAAAATGATATGTCAGAATCGGTCTCTTGACACCTTAGAGTAATAACATACAGTATACGTATGCTTATAGAGAACCTACAATTCAACATAAATTGAGTGAATATACTTGTCTCGATTTTTCTTATTCAATTTCGAATAAGACAAAAATAGACAAATCTATTGAAAGGTGTTGCGTATAATTCAAGCGTGGAAATATAAATGTCAAGGGGTCATCTTTGGTCTCTTTATACTAGGCCGAATATGAGAGTAAGTACACTCGTATGTTCTGATTTACTAGAAAAATGCCATCCCTATTGTAGAAGTATTATGTGTGACGTTACATTACAAGACATTATGTTATAGTGATTTCATTCGCAATGTTGACTAAAATCGACATCTATATACTAATTTTTGTTTTGTTATTTATTTTTATTATTTTATATGCCCTAAAAATATTTAAAAAAAATAGGACTAGGAGTTATTATTTTTAGATCAAGTAATTTGATTCCTAAATTAAGTGATAATGATTATTATATTACATTTCAAATATTCATTTCGCTATTCGAAGGTATAAAATTCCGTATGTTAAAAGTTGCGAACGATGATTATTAAGTATTTAGTATTTACGTTGCCGAAAAATAAATATTCGAAACCAATTATGTCAGAGTTAGATATCGTCAAAATTTTTAAAGTGAGAAGGTTCAAGAGTATTTATCAGAAATAATTTTACGAACGAATCAACAAACAGGCGAATGGTCTTTCAGCCGAAAATAAATATACTTGAACTTCAAAAGTGCAATTGTCTTCAATCGGTAATTCCATTTTCGATGTAAAATTGTAGTTTTTTTACTGTGATTATTATTTAGGATAAGTTTACAAATATTGAAAATGGATTGAAATTGTTTTATTCATTTTCTTACCAATAATTATACTGTTTGAACTTTAACTTAATGAATAGCTTAAGTACAGTCTTATAAGGTAATAGCACAAAATAAATAATAGTGGTAATAGTTATTTTGTAATGGAAATTATTTTATCGGCTTACAGCTACGTATTTCGTTACAATTACTTTTCTGTAATATTGATTTTTATGGATGAACGGTTATTATTCACCTGTTTGTATTTCGGTATAGTTTCGTAGATGTATTCAGAAAATGCAATAATACTGAAGGTAACTTACGGAACTACCATAAAAAATTAACACACGACATCATAAGAAATAAAACTAAAGCAGAATTTCATATTATATTACATGTGGGTTGGCATGAAAGGGTTATTTTCCGGGCTTCATAGCTTGGATAAGATCTGTGCCTATCGTGGCAACTTCAGAGTTTATTTTCAGAGACTGGATCTACAATCACCAAGTAGATAAACCGCTTACTGGGCGCCAGTTGGTTAAAATTGTTATTTTAAAATTCAATTCAAAAGAAATAAACGTAAAAATAAAAAAAATATTCAATTAATTCTTGTTTTCTGATAATTATTCCATAAAATTAAATGTGTAAAAATAAAAAGTGTAAAACTTCCTAAAATAACATAAATATAATTCTTTGTTTAATTTCTGTTCAAAATGATTATTTATTCCATAAATATGTATGTATATATTTAAATGGTGATAAAAAACATCGAAAAAATCGATATATCGTACACAGCTTCAATATTTGCTGCATTCTTATAGATGTGCTTACTCGGAAAAATTACGACTGGAGTTAACTCGAATTGAAATTCACACAACTCTAACTAAACTCGAGTTACGCAACTAGAGTTAGCAGGATGAAATACAGTAAATTATTTGTTACAATTACTTTAAAAATATCGATTCTTGTTGTTAAATTAGATAATATGTTAGATTGCCCTTGCATCACATAAGTCACATATGTTATCTGAAATAAGTCTGCTTGTCTATTTAATTTGTTTGAATTCCAGGTTGAAATGCATCTTACACATAGATCATTTACATACCAGTAGCATTGGAGTGGCACCAAGAAAAAAGGAAATATTAATAATAATAGGTATTCAAATTGAAGAGAAGAATAATAAGATAAGAAAAAAGTTGAAAAAAATATACATACACAAAAGAGTATAGAATCTTAATTAATTCAACATATATATATTATATTTCTATAATACAAATTCTCTGCAACTTCAAAATATATTGTCATATTAGCTTGAACCTATTACACTGTTTTTAGATGGCGGAAATGCGTTTTGAATTAATTACGATAAAAAAATTTCACTAAAAATAGTGTATGTAATAAAGAAAGGAAAATATGTCAATTTGCTCTCGTATTATGAAGTAGATATCTGGTACTTGATTTTTAATTTTGTTTTCAATTTATGAGGATTGTCAGGGTTAAGCTTGAACCATTTACACTGTTTTTTGATTTTAGAAATGCCTTTTGAATTAACTACGATAAAAATAAATTTCACTAAAAATTGCAATAACGAAGCGCAAATCGGACAATCCATTTGTGGCTGGAGACGGGACTTATATACAACCAATTGAGTCGTAGTGTAGAGCAGTCTAGGGGTTTTTCAGAAAACAAAATTAAACAATTTACATTACGTTATTCCATTTACCACTATCATAGCAGAGTTTAGGGCAACCAGACTTTTTTTTTATAGAAGAGGGGGCAAACAAGCATGCGGCTCACCTGATGTTAAGTGACTACCGCCGCCCATGATCAACCGCAACACCAGGGGAATTGCAGGTGCGTTGCCGGCCCTTTAGAAAGGAGTACGCTATTTTCTTGAAGGTCCCCAGGTCGCATCGATCCGGAAAAATCGCCGGTGGTAAACTATTCTACAGAGAGGTTGTACGCGGAAGAAAACTCCTTTTGAAACGTACTGTGGTGGACCGCCAAGCATCCAGATGGTGTGGATGGTATTGGGACGTTTGCCGCGTAGTGCGTTCACGAAATTTGGCGGCTGGGATTAATCCGAACAATTGCTCAGAGCACTCTCCATAGTATATGCGAAATAAAATGCAAAGAGATGCAACATCTCTTCGCAGTGCCAGTGAATCGAGCCGATCGGAAAGCACTCGGTCGTCGACGATTCGAGCCGCTCCGCGCTGGATGCGGTCAAGTGGAAGGAGCTGGTACTGGGGAGCCCCAGCCCAGAGATGGGAACAGTATTCCATGCGCGGCCGAACCTGCGCCTTATAAAGTCGCAGACGGTGTGCCGGCATGAAATACTGTCTCGCTCTGCTGAGCACGCCAAGCTTTTTAGAGGCCAATTTGGCCTTCTCTTCCAAGTGACCACGAAACTGCACGTCACTCGATATGTCAATGCCGAGGA